ACCCCCCGCTGAGCAGGGAGCCCGATGCGGGACTCGATCCCGGGACTCCAGGATCATGACCTGAGCGGAAGGCAGTCGCTTAACCAACTGAGCCACCCAGGTGCCCCCCTTCTTCTATTTTCTAATTAATGTGTTTTGAAATTATGTATACTGTTTAAAAACTCTAACACGGACCCACCTTTGCAACCTATACATTGCCTTAAATTTTCTAACGTTGTCTCTGAATATTCTTCACTGTCTGATGGTCTTTCCTTGTTAACTTCCAGGCAAACCCTTTTCCTTTCAGTAGTAAGGTAAGCAGAGTCCCAGGTGAGAGCAATCTAAGGAGACAGATGCCATTCACAGACGTAATGTTCTTGTGAAGAAAGACCCTTCTTGCAGCCTTATACCCAGTTAGCCACTTCTGACATCAAACATCGCAGCAGCTTTTAAAATCCCTCTATTTTTAAGTAGCTTCATGAGAGATCACATAGCTTTTCCAAAATTGGTTCCATCTCTCCCATTACTGGGCTATAAATAGAGGATGGAAAGAACACAGGGCCAGTATGTAACAGTAAATTGTGAAAAATAGCGAAATCAAATAGTAAATTGTCAAGCAGCTGATTACAATATCACTAAGTTGGAACACTTTGCAGAGAAATTCATAGGTCACCCATACTTAACAACTGCTTTGCTAGCTTTTATGATAAATGAACTCAAATCTCAAGGCCTTATTGTCAGATGGACTGAGAGGAGCTAACTCAACCTTTTTCATCTTTGTGACACTCATGACTCATTGGTCAACCTCAGATGGCAGGAGCACTGCATAAACCCGAGTCTAGGGCAGGGATTGGCAAACTATGGCTGCAGGCTAAGTGTGGCCCACTGCTTGTGCTTATAAATAAAGTTTTATTGGAACACAGCCTTGCCTATTTGTTTATGTATTGTCTTTGGCTGTTTATGCTGCAGTTACAGAACTGAGTAGTTGCAGCCGGGAGATCATATGGCTCACAAAGTAAAATAATTACTTTCTGGCTCTTTACAGAAAAGGCTTGCCAGCCACTGGTTTAGGGCACGGTAGTAATGATTTAAAGCTTTGTTCAGCAATAGTTCCATATTTTAAACTAGTATTTCATAAAATGAGGTTCTTCCCTGCTTGTCTTCCTTCTTCCTTATCTCTCTTCCTCCTTTCTTTTCTTTTTTTCCTTTGATTTCCTTCTTTTCTTTTGCTAGCATTTAAGGTACTTCAGAACAAAACAATTTAGAAACTTAATACAATTCAAATTCTGTTTGAAAATGTATTTTCAATGACAGTGCTAAAACTCTGGAGGGATTTAAATATCATAGTTATGGGGCTTATTTTGTTTTCTTAAGGTAAGACTATTTACTTTTTTATAGCTTACTCTTTGAAAATAAAGTTTTAAAGTCTAACCAAATATTATTAAAATATTTGAATTCTCATATTTAATGCCTATTTATAAATAAAAAGAATAGCCTAGATTTGGGCCTCTATTACTGTTTTGGACATCCATATTCTAAAGAATGTTTTTTTAGTGAAAAGCCTTCTAGTAGAAATGTCTGACATACTGAAATGTGAACCCTTTTATCACCTTTCTATATTGATTGAATTTTTGAAAACAACTTTTGTCTACCAGTTTCTATTACAGAAACAATAATTTTTTTAAGGTATAAAAAGAATGAAATACTTGCTTCACAGCTTAAGTAAGTACTCGTCATCCATCCATCCAGAATGATCATTTCAGTCAGACTGGTACTTGTTGAATTGTTACAGTCAGATCTTCCCGGGAGGAAAGCTGGCCCTCAGAGAAAGAGCTGCTAATGGGGTTGAAGTTAGCTTTCGATTTTGCTAGAGAATGTTAACATTATATACCCCACGTTCTATCTCCCAACTCATCCCCTTTACGTCAGTTCTTGCAGAATTCTCCCTCAGCCAGTGTTCTTTACATGCGAGAAGAAATAATCCAAAGAAGCTGACTGAAAGTTTCCATCCAAAGTGGTTAACATATAGAATGTGTGCATGTGCTCTCTGTTCCGACAGTTGTCGGATTTGCGGGATGAAAGAGATCTTAGAAGTCTAAGTAGCACTCCGTTGACATGCAGTGTTTTTAGATATCTGTTTTTGCTTTGGAAAGATGTAAAGGGAAAAGGAGAGAAGTCAGCTTTCAGCTCTATTTGGATATAAAGCTTATCTTTGTTCTTTAAGCCCTCAAAATCCAAATTCGTGGTGAATTTGGGGACCAGGATCTGGTAGTGGTGGAATGTGCAAACACTGAAAACAGCCATCTCTTTCCCAGGCGAGCCCTGCAGATTTCTTGTGCGAGTCTGCATTTCACAGACAACTGAAAATACCAGTCATTCGACAGAGGCTTTGTAATAAAATGATCATCCTGAGTATCAGTGACTCGCAGTTAAAGCTTTGAAAAACCACAGGTAGAATTGTGGAAAGGGGATTGGACAGGGAATGTTTCTCGTTTGGTTTTTTCAAATTAAGCATTATTGGACTGACAAACTTCAAATTCAAGACGTGAAAACTTTAGATGTAAATTCTTCTTGGCAACTCGTTCTTATTCCTTCCTTTGGGAACAATCCGAGCACCTATTCTTAATGGTAAGTAAACACGATGACACTGAGGTCATGGTTTTGTGTAGGTTCCTAAGTTTTCTATGATCGGCGCTTGAAAGGCCTACAGTCAGCAAATTCTGCTTATAGTACTAGCTGTTTTTCTGGATTAGACCTCAGCTTTCCTTTATTACAGCAGCAGAGTCAACGGGTCAATCATGAATGCTTATAAATGAGCCTTACCATTTTTTTGGCAGAACTTGGGTCTGTTGCAATAGCGATTGCAAGCATGCTACCACGTCAGATACAGTTCATTTTCGGTATGGATTTGACACCTGCATAGCTTTGTCACACAACCCCAGTGGGCATCATGAGGCTGCAGTGGGCACAGTGTCTCATCTTGGGAGCGGTAGTCTGGGTAGTGGTGCCCCCCCCCCCCCCCCCCAAACTTGTTCAGCCAAAGGCCCTGGTTGGGAGTAAGGCACAAAAGCTCTTTTAAGTTGCTTCTCTTAGGTGCAAGCATGTTTTGTTTTATGACGGCACTCAAGAATTTCATATACATGGTTTGGGTTGTATCACTAATTCACATGGAGTTCATTTTGTGCAGGAACTATCATAAAATTTTTTAAAAAATTTTTTATTATACCAGCCTGGAAGCCATTTGAGTAAACGCCAGCGTACATCTCTCAAGAGCAGAGCCGTAGACTAAAGGGAAACCATGCAGTGCAAAAATTAAATAATTATACTAAACAGTACATTATTCACAAGCAATGTTGCCTTTTCCACCTTGGTCACCAAGGATGGCTTCTGAAGATGGTAACATGGATGGATGGGCAGGTCACATTGCATTCGTGGATGCTCTCCCAGGCCGTTACTCATGCTTTCATATCCCACTTTTGTAGTTTTGGAAGGATTGTGGAAGCCTAAACTTAGTTTACCCTGCTGTTCCAGGTGGCTACGCGATGTTCTCTGAAGGTAATCTGGCTTCCATGGGTCCTGCCCCAAAGTTGAGACGATTGATAGCTAATGCTTATAGACCCCACTATATGTCAGGCACTGCTCTGCATACATGAAACGCAGTTAAACTCACAACTACCCTATGAGGGTACCTGCTCTGACCCTCATTCTGATGGCCGTGAACAGAGGCTCAGAGAGGTTAGTTAAGTTGCCTAAGGCGATACCAGCTGTATTAGTTTTCTAGCACAGCCCTAACAAAGTACAGGGGGCTTAAACAAACAAACATCAGTTCAGGAGGCTAGAACTACAAAATCAAGGTATCAGTACAGTTGGTTGTTCCTTCCGAGGTCTGTGAGGGAAGAAACTGCTCCAGACCATGCTCCTTGGCTGATGGATGGACATTTTCTACCAATGTTTCTTCACATTGTCTTCTCTCTGTGCATGTCCTTCTGCCCAATTTCCCCTTTGTAGAAGGACATTGGTCACGTTGGAGTAGAGCCCACCCTGATGACCTCACTTTAACTTGTTTATAAAGACCCTGTCTCCAAACACGGTCACATTCTGAGGTTTGGGGCATTAGGTTTAAACACAGGAATGGTGTGGGCAGGGGAGGTTGCATAATTCCACCACGACCACCAGCTAATAGTGATGGAGCTGGAGTTTGAATCTGGCAGAGGGGCTCTGGGCTCTGGGTGCATCATGAGCCATGGTCAAGTCTAACTGCCCTTTTATGGAACTTACAAAATTAAGTTTATTAAGTAAGCTTAGTCTTGAAAAATGAGTGTATAAAGTAGCTTCCAGTGTATATGGTAGCTTCTGTATGTGTCCTGTTTGTTTTCAAATGCCAAGACAGCTATTTCAACCCAGTTGCCCTAGTTTTTTTTGTATCGAGAAAGGCTTTTTTGTAAATGTATATTATTATATCATGTAAAACATTTTTCATTTTCCTCTCCTTTAAAAATACTCTGCCTTTGATGGCTCAGTTCAGTAAAGGCCTCGTGACAAGTATCAATCTCACTGCACCTGGCTTCCATCTCTCTTCCTAAACACCTCCGAGTCCTGCGGACTTGCCATGTGGTAATGCTCGGAAGCTTGGCAAAATTCATAGGATTTTGTCTTAGGTTGGGCTGCTGGAACAAAATCCCATAGACTGGGGGGGCTGAAGCAACAGACATTTATTTCTTATAGTCCGGGAAGGCTGGGAGCTCTGAGATCAAGGCACCTGCAGATTTGGTGTCTGGTGAGGGCCCTCTTGAGGGCTTGAAGACGGCTGCATCCTCACACGGCAGAGGGAGGGGGCTTTGATCTCTTCCTCTTCCTATGAGGGCACATCATTGAGGGCCCCACCCTCAGGAACTCATCTAAACTTAGTCACCTCCCAAAGGCCCTACTTCTTGGTACCATCACATCAGGGATTAGGATTTGCACATAGGAATATTGGGGGCGGGGGTTCAAACATTCAGTCCGTAGTAGATTCTGAGAAATCAGGAACCAGCAACAAGTTCCCTCTACATTCTCATGAGTCTATGTTCCTTTGGTTTTAGGTGTTCCCACCCCAAGCCAAGAAATCCTACGGCACACGCTGAACACGTTGGTACGGGAGAGGAAGATCTACCCAACTCCGGATGGCTATTTCATCGTGACCCCACAGACTTATTTCATTACTCCTTCTCTCATAAGAACTAACAGTAAATGGTACCATTTGGACGAGAGGATACCTGACAGGTCTCAGTGTACCTCTCCACAACCCGGAACCATAACGCCCTCTGCCTCAGGCTGCGTCAGGGAAAGAACATTGCCCAGAAACCACTGCGACTCTTGCCACTGCTGCAGAGAAGACATGCACAGCATGCATGCTTCCACTCTGCAGAGGAAACCTGCCAAGGACTGCAAAGACCCCTATTGCCCTCCTTCACTATGCCAGGTGCCACCCACTGAAAAGAGCAAAAGTACTGTAAACTTTTCTTATAAGACAGAAACTCTCTCAAAACCTAAAGATAGTGAAAAGCAGTCCAAAAAATTTGGGCTAAAGTTATTCCGGCTAAGTTTTAAAAAAGATAAGACCAAACAGCTAGCCAATTTCTCTGCCCAGTTTCCTCCTGAGGAGTGGCCCTTGCGCGATGAAGACACACCAACTACTATCCCTAGGGAAGTGGAAATGGAAATCATTAGGCGGATTAACCCGGACTTGACCGTGGAAAATGTCATGAGGCACACTGCACTAATGAAGAAACTTGAAGAAGAAAAAGCGCATCGGAGTAAAGCTGGGTCTTCTGCCCATCACAGTGGAAGAAGTAAAAAGAGTAGGACTCATCGAAAGTCCCACGGAAAATCTCGGTCACACAGCAAGACACGAGTGTCTAAAGGAGACCCTTCGGATGGTTCTCATCTGGATATCCCAGGTGACAGAGAGTATGACTTTTGTGATCCTCTTACCAGGGCACCCAGGGAAGGCTGCTTCATCATTGAACACAAAGGAGATAACTTCATCATGCATAGCAACACGAACGTGATTGAGTCTCATTTCCCCATGACACCAGAATGGGATGTGTCTGGGGAACTGGCCAAAAGGAGAACTGAGATGCCTTTTCCTGAGCCTTCCAGGGGAAGCTCCCACTCAAAAGTGCACCGAAGCCACAGCCATACCCAGGACCGAAGGTCCAGGAATGAGAGATCCAGCAAAGCCAAGGAGAGATCCAGATCGATGGATAACTCGAAGGGCCCTCTGGGTGCTTCTTCTCTGGGGACACCTGAAGACCTGGCTGAAGGCTGTAGCCAAGATGACCAAACCCCCAGCCAGTCCTACATTGACGACAGTACTTTAAGGCCCGCGCAAACAATTGGCCATCAAAGGGCTCATGTTTCGTCCACAAGCTATAAAGAGGTGTGTATTCCGGAAATAGTCGGTGGCAGCAAGGAGCCTTCCAGTGCGTGTAGCCTTTTGGAGCCAGGCAGACCACCTGAGAGTTTGCCATCCTATGGGGAGCTCAACTCCTGTCCAACAAAAACAGCTACGGATGACTATTTCCAGTGCAACACGTCCAGTGAGACAGTCCTCACGGCGCCATCGCCTCTGGGAAAGAACAAAGAGGATCATGACACTCTGACTCTGGCGGAAGGGGTGAAAAAGCTGCCGCTGTCTGATAGGCAGGCCCCACATTCTTCCAGAGAGCCTGTAGGGCACAAGGAGGAGTCACCAAAAGGGCCAGGCGGAGGCCCAGCCGCTTCTGGCGCAGTGGCTGAAGGGATTGCCAATGGACGCCTTGTCCAGCACCACGGTGCGGAGCCCAGCAGCCTGGACAAGAGGAAAGAGATATTCAGCAAGGACACACTGTTCAAACCTCTCCACAGCACCTTGTCTGTAAACAGCTATCACAAATCGAGCCTGTCCCTCCTCAAATCTCTCCCGAAGACACCTGCCGACACACTGCCGGGCCGATGTGAGAAACTGGAGCCGCCCCTGGGGACCTCGGTGGCACCAGCCGTGCCTGGTTCCCAGCGTCAGCAGGAGTCAGGGGGGAACCAGGAAGCCTCTTTTGACTATTACAATGTCTCCGATGACGACGACTCCGAGGAAGGGGCAAACAAAAACACGGAGGAGGAAAAAAACAGAGATGATGTAGGCACCATGCAGTGGCTCCTTGAGAGGGAGAAGGAAAGAGACTTACAGAGGAAATTCGAGAAGAACCTCACCCTCCTTGCCCCAAAAGAAACCGACAGTAGCAGCAACCAGAGAGCCACCCATTCGGCACGCCTTGACAGCATGGACAGTAGCAGCATCACTGTGGACAGTGGATTCAACTCCCCACGGTAGGGAGAGGCATCTCCACGCGTGCACACACACACACGCACACGCACACGCACACACCTGTCAGGGCCTGGGGCTTTATACAGATAACTTGAACAGTTTCTGATTTCAGTTTTAATTCTGTGAATGCGGGTGAAGGGTTGTGTGAGTTGCGCTGTTAACAACCTGTTTCTGACTTCTTTTTCAGGAATTGAAACAAATGTTTCTGCAGCTGTAGAGATCCCCAATCTGGACTGGTGGGTTGGCTCCCTCCCTCACACTTGCATCAGGCCAATCTAACTAGGACCAACATTTTCCAGGATTTTTCTTCTGTGTTTATATTGCCACCGTGCTGATAAAAGAAGGGGTTTTTTTTTTAGGTCCTCAAAAATAGTAACTTTTTGAGTAGAATGAGTGGTCAGCAGTCAATTGGGGGTTGGGTAGGGCTTGGGTATAAATTGATTGACTCAAGGACGGGGTCCTTCTAGTGGGAATAGCAGATCTCAACACCTTTCCGGGGGATCGAGATGCTAGTTGCCATTGCAACGTCGACTCTGTGCGCTCCCTCCCCGACCTTGCTCATACACTTCACATCCGCAGAGAAATAGAACCTTGTGTCTCTCACAGAGTCGTGAGAGGCCTGTGTTCCCTTAGATCAAAGCACGTGCCCACACTTTTCTCTCTCCTGCAGAATTGATACAACCCATTAAGGCACTCGAATCATAGCTGGTAATTCAGCAAAGGGTTAACAGCAGAGGGTGTGCATATCCAGCACACTGAAGTGGTTCGGGGGTTAAGAAAGCAAAAGAGAGTCTGTCCAACCTCCTTTTTTTTTTCTCCTTAACTCTTCCTTCTCCTCAAAGGGCAACTTGGGACCTAATTCTCCTTCTAAATTCTACTCCAGATTGGTGACTCTGAGATGCAGAAATACTACTGAGAGGTGGACATTTCTCATTAGCTGCGATTCCCAAGATTCTACGGTATTGATAATTTTAACAAGTACCCAGATAGGATTATATACTTCATATATTTTAATTATTAATAATGAAACTTAGTTCTGTTGTGATCATTTCACTTTATCTCTGGATAATTTGGGGACAGAACATCCCCAAATCAGACTTGGGAATCATATTAGACCTTTGTTATTTCTTAAAGGGCTAGTTTTTTATTATGATGATGATTATTTTTGCCATGTAACCTTTTTTTCCAAGTTAACACATGTGTGGAAGTCTAATGTCTAAACAAATCACAGAAATGGTGCTCTGGTTAAAATGGGTGTGAGGCCAGGAGCCCCATGTCTCCTCTGCCAGTCCCTCAAGGAGTCCTAACTAACCTCAGGGAGCTATGGCACTCAGTTCAAAAACTATTAGCCTACCTACTAAGTGACTTTTCTACAAAATAACTTCCACTAGGTATTTTTTAAATCATAAATCAAATCTTAATTTATTTACCAATTATTTTGTATATCCTTTTCTTTCTATTTCCCGCTTCTGCTCTTTGTTTTTTTTCCTCTTAAATTTCTAACAGTGGATACCAGAGAGGCATAATTGAAGGTCTGTAATTGATGGTAGACGTTCAAAATCATCGTTTATGGAAGGTGTGGTTTACCTGCCTGTATCTTATGCTCAACTGTCTTATTATATAGACTCTGCCTGCCTAGTACAACTAGTTTCTGACCTTGCACTGTGCCCTCTTGGCCCCTACACCCTCCACAAAGGGAAGGCTGCGGTCCTCCAGACATAATTGCTACAGAGACGAGAGTAGTTTAATGGGTTCTAACTCAACAACCTACCACCGCATGATATTGAAAGTTTTTTTGTTGGTTTGGGGGACAAATAAACACAAATACTCATGAAATAGTTGACCCTGTCCTGCCACAGAATGTATTGTTTTATCTCTAAAGTCGGGCTGCAGAATATAGAATTTATGAATGAGATTATTTCTTGAAGTAAGTTTATTTTCATTTGTTTAATAAGGTACTTAAGGTTAAACGCTTTGTCATGGTAAGAGGTAAGATCGTTCTGAGGAGACAACTGTCTCACATTTAGCTACGTGTCTGTCCACTGCTGTTAGGTAGAGTTTCCTCTATAGGAAAAGATCGATCGCCCATAAATTTCATGCAGTTAGATCATCTGCAGAACAATTCCTAATTTTGCCCTTTTCATATTTACTATTCTTTGGCTAGAAATTAGGTCACAACTGTTTTTAAACTGTATTTTCGGTACACCTCAGTTAATCGACTAAGTTGTTTTCTGATGCGTGAGAATGGTCTATGAAGGAAAATATTTGCGTTATAGGGAGTTTTATTCTCCAGCATGAGGAGTATTTTAGCCAAATAGCATTATCAGGCTGATACTTCTCCACTGCCTCGAGATACAGAAACTTTAAGTGGGCCACTTATTTGAGTCTTTCAGTACATATTCCACTGAGCAACTAAGATCCAGTTACAACAACAAAGACCAAGAAAGGTGATCTCCACACTCCCAGCTTTCCGTGCTGGCTCAGAAGTCATGTTCAGCCACATTCTCAAAATTCTTCAGTCCCTTTCGTTGGGACCTAAAGGGTTTTGAGAAGGAAAAAAGGTAAAAGTTTCAACTATGCTATGAGATCTAATATTGAACACGGAAGTTCTTGACCTGAAAAACCTGCGATTCCAAATCTGAGGCCCAAAACTGGTTGACAAACGCAGTGTGAAAACCCGAGGTAGCAAAACTGCCAGGAATGTGTCTGCTTCGTGTAGGGCGCGAGCATGCGCTGTCAGAGCGCGGGGCCGAGGGAAACACACACATCCAGGAGGATGAGCCGCACACCTGCTCCGTTCATTTCTTCTGCTTATAAAATCTTGACATCTTATTGTTAAGGTTGCACTCCATTGGGTTTCTTTTTCAAGAAAGTTAAAAACTTTGAAACTGGAGGACCATTTTTATTGCTAATGCTCTGTCTCCATTAGCTTTTTCATCATCACACCCAGAACCCTCGTTATGAGTGTCGCACCCTGCACTCGTTATTACAGCAGTAACGAAATATATCCTTTGGAGAAGCTGGAGTACTGTATATCTTTATCACTATGATGACTCTGGCCAAAGGTGGTCAGAGGCATCTTAGAGCACAGACAACTCCCAACTTAGATGATCTTTTGCTGTGATGTGTGTGCACAGTGCCTGGCAGACAGCGGGTACCTGATGAGTGTGAAGCCTGTGCCTCAAGACTGGTTTCAAAGGTTAAGAGGGCTTAAGACCTTAAAATGCATTTTTCCATAGAAAAGGTGCCATTAGTAACGGATGGATTCTGAAACCAACTCATGGGAGCTCCTTCATTCATTAGATGCCAGATGTGCATCTGAAATAATTAGAATGTATCTAGCTTTTTAGTGTACAGATTCATTGACGCTTATTTCTTCACAAACACTCTATGAGTAGGTAAATCCCATAACTCTCATCATTTTAGAGATGGGGAAATCAAATACTGTTAAAAGTTACTATCACAATTAAGAGTGAAACCGAAGGAACGTGTCACGAAATCTTTGGGGTTCTACATGTTGATTGCCCTTCTTCCTTCCTGCGCCTGACCCTGGCAAGCCACTGGTGAATTTTCTTAGGGAAGGTGTAAGGCAGGTAAGTAGGTGAGTCTAGCACTTAACATCGCTTTAGTGATGATGTTCTGGGGTATTCTTTAGGTATGCTCAGATCTACCGTAAGCACAATGAAAGAACTGAACTTCTTTCTTTTTTTTTTTTTTAAGATTTTATTTATTTATTCGACATAGAGAGCGAGAGAGCACAAGCAGGGGGAACAGTAGAGGGAGAGGGAGAAGCAGGCTTCCCGCTGAGCAGGGAGCCCGATGCGGGGCTCGATCCCAGGACTCTGGGATCACGACCTGAGCCGAAGGCAGATGCTTAACCATCTGAGCCACCCAGGTGCCCCAGAACTTAGCTTATTTCTGTAAATGTATTAACCTTCTGGAAGTGCTCTTTGCAGTCAAGAAAGATTCGGTTGTCTTTTTGGTAGTCGATGAATAAACTTCCTTTTAAACAATTACCTCTTGGCTCCTTGATGAGAAACAAACTCAGAGCCACAAAGGTTAGGTTGAAACAATCCACTATCTAGGAAGTGCAGCCAAAGTACAGGCATCCCTCGCTTTCCGAAACTTTGTGTTAACATCCTTTCACTTTAAGGAAAGACCCTACATTAGTAACAGCTTTCTTCGTGAAAGCGAAAACCTTCGGATTTCTTTCAGTTAGCAAAAACAGGTACTAATGTAGGTCTTTCATAAAATCGAGGAGACATTAATGGCGAACATTTGGAAAGCACGTGTATGCGCTTTCTGACGTTTAGGCTTAGGAAAGATTTCATAAGAACACCCTACACTCCGAAAGCGGGAAAAGCCTGTGTGGGGTTCAGACAGAATTGCTCTTAATTTAGTATGGGAATGAAAGAGAGGTGGTGAGGATGTCCACTGCAGTAATCTGAGCTGCTGACTAGTTTCAGCAGGCTTAAATCAGTGATGGGGGGGCCAACTCTCAGAGAATATTTTCTAAACTCTGAATCTGCCCAGTCGGGTGAATGGATGTTTTGAGCATCATTGTGATTTCTTCAATCTCTTTGTAAACTAAGTTTCTTATTCCCACTTTGAGGACTTTGAACATAGAACCTGTTCAGTTCCTATCAATCAGGCCAAGTAACCTTATTTCTGCTATTGCCCTACACATTTAAAATGTGACTATTCTGAATCTCTTGGAGCCATAAAACAAATTCAAGAGTTTCTAACTTAGGAAAATTAAAAGAGAAGTAGAAATACTAAAGCCTTTAAATCACTTCTATTCTATAAGAATCCTTGAAAAATAAAATACTGCTACCAAAGTCGGGGGAGGGGATGTAAACTTCACAAATGGGGCAAATCTAAGATTCCTTATCTGAAAATATAATGTATTTCCATGAAAGTGTTAAAATTTGAAAGAGAGGTGCAAAGCCTTTTAAGAAGAATTTTATTCCCATCAGGGTGGCAAATTAGCTAATGGCATGCTTGAAGTCCACCAAAGTCAAAATCTGCTAATCAGGAATGAAAACAGAATCATTAGGGGCAAAATTGAGTTTATTCATTTATTCAGTGAATTTCCAGCCTGAAATGAAATCATCGCATATGTGTATTTAAGAGGATTCTTTTCTAAAATGAACGCGATAGCTATCTATCACATCAAATTTGGAAGCAGTTTCCTTGAATGGGGAAAGAAGGAGAAAAGATTTACAGTGCATCTAGCTGGATGAAAACCCGTTATTCAGGGTGCCACTGATAATAGTGTGTGTGAAACTTCTGGAGCCCACATTGGAAGAACATATGTGAATAATCAGTGTGAGGTAGTGTACATATGACGTCATGAGCCAACAGAGGAAATCCATTAACTACATCATTTGCTCTTCCTCTGGGGCTCAAGAGATAATTACTTATGTTTAAAACCAAACAAAACAAACCCTTTTTACTCTTTTAGCACTCGGGAGAGCCTGGCTTCCAACACGTCAAGCATTGTTGAAAGTAACCGTCGTCAGAACGCTACCTTGAGCCCGGTCCACGGTGGAGCTGGCCCGGCCTTCAACTTCCGAGCAAGTACGGACCCCGCAACCAGCGAAGCTGAGAAACTACAGAAACCTTCCAACTGCTTGCAAGCTTCTGTTACTAGCGTGTGACAGTCGTTCTGCCTCAGATCTCCTGTCTCATTCGATACAGCCAAGTTTACGACACTGGGACTGATGTTTACATCTTGGGAAAGACAAGCATCTCGACCACAGTTTTTGTGTTTACTTAAACTGTGCTGCTAAGTAGGCTAGGGCAAAAAACAAAAATCTTTATTTCAGAGTATTGCTTTTCACATTTATGGCTCTGTAGCAACCGAATAGCAGTAGGGGTGATATGTATACTTTTGCTTCACTACTTGTAACTGAGCACACATAGGAAAGTCTAGACACTGTAAGTGTGATATGCATTCCAATGTCATGAAGTTGCCAATTCCATTTTTAAATGCCACAGATACGTGTTGCTCCCAGTCTGTGGTCAGAGGGTGCCACAGAACTGATCCTTGACACTCCCCCCCCAAAAAAAAGTAAGCCACCCCAAAATGTCAAATACCAGGGTCCACCTTAAGGGAAATCAATGTCAAACTGACCAGAAGGGACCCCAGCCCTTTGTGTGTGAATTGTTTATGCACCAGTCATTTCTCACTGTGAGTTTTCGTGACACGATTTTGCAGGAGCCCGTGGAAATGTGTCAGAAGGGGTCGTGATCGAAATTCTGGGAGTGTTTGTTTTCAGGATTTTGTTTTTAAGTGTTACAGATGCTTGTCTGATTTTTAACCTTCCATAATCACAAACAGGAATATAGGCCTTTGATTCTGAAGTGGACGAAAGAAGGAGATCCCCAGCCTGGCTGGGACACAGCACTAAGGGATGGAAGAGGGAAATGTGGACTCTAAAGCTGTCAATCAAATATTTAAGGAAGATAATTTCCTCCTTGTGATACTTATGATGATCCTATCTTACTATAATAGATACGATAATTAATTTGTTTAAAAGCAAAATGTTCTTTGTGATACAAATGAAGAGTATGGCCTGGGGATGTTATTCTTTCTAATGGAAGGACATTAATCTATTTTATGTAGTTTTAAATAGAATGCCTAAATTAGGCTATGGGAGATCATTTTTAGTGGTTATAGGAAAGAGCAAAGTTAGGGAGAGTTGAACTTCAGGCCTTTTATTCCTGGAAAGATATCTATAGAGAAAAGTTTAAAATAATTTTTGATTAGAAATATACATGTGCCCATGTAATTACCAACAGAATGTGCTCATTCTGCAAGTATGGTATAATCGGAACTTGTACTCCCCTGAAATTTATCAGAGTAACAAATATGCATACATGAACTATGCCAGAGTAATGTTTACAGATACTTTGTAACCAATTTCAGGAGGCATTTTTAGGTGGATGTATAGTTACTAGCCCAATTTACTTCAAAATGGTTTGTTAACATTTTGCTTTGGTTTACAATGTCTTATTGAATACAAAGAAGACTCCGCAGCAAAGGGATTACAAATAATCGAGCTTCAACTTTACAGAAGAGAGACATTTCAAAGTTCCCCATTTTATTCTGTGAGAACAATGGACTAAATGTGTAGATAATGAAAAATTATTTGCAGAAGGGTTACATATGACACAAGTAAATGGTCTGACCAAAAGTTTAGTTTAGTGGCGTGTGAGCCATATAACCATAAAATATATATCCAAAAATAAATCTAAAATCTTCCCACCTCAGACTTCAGTAATTGGCATAAAATGTGTGAAACATTTCTGCTTCAGTATTAGGTTCAATCACTAGGGATCTGTTTAAAGAATGCACTCCTATACATAGCTGGACCGATTCTTGAAACATATGGATACTCTCTCATGCTTTTCAGATATTTGGAAGTTGCATTAGGTCAAACTGGACTCATCAAGTTTAGTCTAGATTCCTTTTTGGGTGCTTATAATGAAACGTAAGCACATTTCTTGGTAAACCCCCATACCACTAAAATGCTTAAGTCAGTTGGCTTTCAATCTCATGCCTTATTTCCTCCAAGGCATGCCCTGATTGCCCAGAAATGCACTATTTGTCTCATTGCTTAAATATGTCCAGGAGGAATGATAATCTATCTAATAGACTATACACACAGTCTATTTCCTTGGGGAGTTATATACCATACGGTTACTAAATTCTTCTGGCTAAATTCCTTTTTTTTCCAAAAAACCTGCTCTCGAGTGTTGAATCATACCATCAGTTCATAAATAATGTAACCATTGAAACAATACATCAGCCTCTCGTTGATCCTCTTGAAAGTAGCCATTATAATAATCAAACGCTGTGTGGACAGGAAAGGAAAGCATTACCTTTAAGAGAAGCTTTAAAATAGGAATCTATCAATATTTCACACGATACAGGTTTACAGAAGACATGATTCAAATAAAATGTGTATAGTATTTGCCTGATGCTATGGGGTACACTATTTTAAAAACAACAACAAAAACTCCCTTAGACCTGGAGCCATTAGCGTAGAGAAGATGGGCTTTAAAGATGCTACGATGTAAGCAGACGTTCCGTGTGGAAATGTCCCCGTCTGCATCTAACAGGAGTCGTGGATGGGGGAGGCGTGGCAGCAGGAAGCATTGTTACAGATGTGACCCGAGATGGTCCTTGGACGGCGGGCGAGCTTCTCAGTGACCAAACCCTCAGCCCACGCCAAGCTTTGCCAACATCCTTTTCCTCCCCTGAACTGATAGCTTTGTGAGACGTGGCTGCTTATCTAGTCTTCACTTAGAGTTTATCAGCTGAAAGGTTTACAGAACTGAGTCTGGTTGAATCTTTGTGTAGCGTTCAACTCTAAAGGGTCAACCCGTCTGTCGGCATTTTGCACACTTATGTATTATTATGATGCAGCATATTACTTTATGGCAATTTTTATTTTTACATATAACTACCTCCATAAATTTGATGAAGCGGCAGCAGTGTGTTTAAAGTGTATTGTTCAGAAAAGCAAAGTGGAAAACCTCCGTAAACATGAGGCCATGGCGTTCTGTGTGTGTGTCCGTCAGTGACTGCCCCTGTGGACTCGTGACTTCTTCATGGCCGTGGTTTTGTTTTACGGCACTATTGAGCTTTCAGATGTAAACCTGTCTCTCCTCTCTTTCCCACAAAAGCACACTTGATTTTGTTACCAACGAAAGGAAGTTGAAATCTCTTGTCTTTCCCTGCCCCCTCTCCCCCACCCCACTCCTGCTAAGAGTTCTCCCCGGTGAAGAGCCGATCGGTAAACATAATTTAGCAAGCTCTTTACTCCTGTAAGAATCTGATTTGGAAATTCTAGGTATTCAGTAACTGAAGACACACAACAAATTTGGACTGTGCCGGCTTTGAAGTACTTTGGGCCTCTCTGCCTTCACTCACATGCTCCCATCCCGAGCCCAAACTTCGGTTTAATTAAAAGAGCTGTGTTCTGTTAAATAATTTGTATTCCATTTTATATATTTTGCACATCTCAGGGGACCTTAATGAGCATATGAAAAGGGGGGGTGCCATCAAATAGAGAAGACAAATGGAGGAGCTGAATGGGGACCAACCAGGATAAAAATACCAAATTAGTGCTTCTCTGATGTTGTGGAGTGCAAGCTCAGGAGGCATAAATTGAAAGTTAATCTGGACTAACAATGATCTGAACACCAGCTGTTCCCAGGTCTCCCTTTCTCAGAGCCCAACCAGCGGTTCGAAGATGTAAATTTAAATTCTATCGCAATCGCCCTGGGGGGAAAAATTTGTTGGACGAAAAGGAAAGCATTGTGCATTTTGTTTGTTTGTTTGTTTTTTTAGGTTGGCACAGCTTTGTAAAATCCTACCCAGGATAAAAACCACTTACCGCCACCAAGTGTACTTGAAAATAAAGTTTTTAACTTAAATTATAGGCATATAGCTCACAATACAAGAGTGAACCTATTTTGAAGTCTCGCCATTTATAACACGGGCACTATTTGGAGCTTGATTAAAAGCCAACAACAAGCTATCATGACTTTGCCAGTTCATTTTGGGATCTCAAAGTGCTTCCAAAGCATTCAGATTGACAAACAATTAACAAAGCAGATCCTACTTGTAATACCCATACTTGAAATGGACAGACAGAAGGGGGGAACCTCAGATTACCCAGAAATTCCGTGGCAGCTACCAGTGATCTGTTTTCTATCTGTTTGATAGACCATCATGAGAAATCACTAAATACAATGCTATTTTTCTGATGTGTGCTAATAAAGTCGAAGAAAACAAATACAACTGTACACTTTTGTCCATTTTCATTCAAAAAGTTCAGGGTGTTTGGAATTTTACAAAACCCACCCAAATGCCGTTGCGGTCAGAGGTAGATCCTAGACATACACCCTTGTTTACAGTTTCCTATTGGGCTTCTGTAATTCCTGTGCTAAAATTCCATCCTTTAGGAGCATGACTCTTCCCAAGAGTGGAAGGTGCTGAAACAAATTGTAATTAAAAACTTTATCAAGTACTCTTCACTGTGCTGCTTTAGCACACTAGAAATTCAATACAATATATTGAGTCCCACCTGGAAGAATCCGGATTTCCAAGGGAGCCGATCTAGTTCTCAGTGTGTTCTCAAACTAGGAGATACCAGATCCTTGCTGAGGACCTTCTCCATTGCCACAGGCCAGCCACAGAACCAGCCGGCGCAGGCTGTCAGGCGACAGCAGACCCCCAAGCAGAAGTGATCCCATCCTCTCCTTTCCCCCAGCCCACCCCCCTCCCCCCACCATCCTGCCCGTTCTCTTCTGTGAGCAGCCAGGCTTCTGCAAATGTTCAGGGCTTGAGGACGCTAGAACACAGGAAGAACGAATGCGAAAGCGTGGAAAACATTGTTTTGCTTGGGGTTAGTAAAATACAGGCAGGAAGGAGATTACTATCGGTCTGATCTTTGCCAAGTTAGATAAAAGAATCAGCTGTCATTCCGTCATTCTCCCCGAAGGTTTTACAGTATTAAGGACACATCCAATATTTTCCCATAGATTTTTATTTAGGAGACATTTCATAAATTATATATACAAAAAAAATTCATGATGAAATTTCCTGGTGCGTTTGAAATAGGCGTTGGCATCTCCCTGATTGAGTTAATCTCTGCGTCTTTTGCAGCAACATCCCAGAGAGAGATTCCTCCAGTGATTGCTCCCCTAACACATAATCCTGTGTTTTTACAGTTGTTCTATGACTTACAGTTGCTGATTGGCAAGGTTGAGGATTCTACAAGGCTCAAGGGGGACTAAACCTTCTTATGATTGTGTATTATCAGTTATAGGGCTTTAATTGCTCATTGTTGGCTTCAAATGCGAACACACACACACACACACACACACACACACTGCCAACAAGGGAAGGGGAGTTTCACAAATGAGGCAGCAAATGTAAGGCTAGAGGCTTGGCTGGTCCACGTACAGCTGCCTACCTCCCTGTCCAAAGGCTGACCTTGGCACCCCCGTTCCCTTGCTCCCAACCAAAAGAGGTACCAAATCTGAGATCTGAGAACTCCTCCAGTATCAGTCCTCTGCAGTTATGGGAAATTCATGAAGTACACACTCAGCAGCTCCTTGCCTGCCTTTCCTCCCAGGTCCTTCCTCCCTGCCTCCTTCCCACTCCCCCACCTAGATACCGATCCACTGGCACGGTTTCCACACCGGAAGGGCAAAACAGTGTGTGGTATTGTGCACACGTGATGGGTTAGGACTAGAGCTGCCCTCGGGTCACCTTCATGTAAGTATTGACAGCTACAAATTAAGGTCCTTAGAGTAGTTGACATAGATACTACTTTCTAGAAGAGAAATTTCAACGTTAAGCTTAAAGGGATCATAATTCTGCAGGTATCTTTCTCTGAGTGACTGAATGTGACTATTGCATTGGGGTAAATGAATTAAGAAGTGCAAGTGGGATTTACTGTATGTTAGAAAGGAGTTTTGCAGCCAAGACTGCCTTGAATAAAATGTGTTTGCACTGAAAAAAAAAAAAAAACTTTAAATTACTTGGTCTCTGGTTGCTGTAAAGGTCATCCAAGATGGATGTTCTGTTTATATTGTATAGTATTTCATATGAAATAATTACAGTTCATGAAATGTCTTCCCTAATGTTACTGATTTATGACAGCACATTTGTAACATGGTTTTTATCGTGTCGGTGTGCCATATTGTAAATGATGATGGCTTGTCATGCTTAGTATAATAACTTAAAAGGAAAAAAAGCACAGGGATTTTTGTAAGTCTATATTTGAAAGTCCCTCCATAAGGTAATATTGTGTTCATGTTGTTTATGTAGTGTTGTGTGAAATATCCATTTTGGATTGTGTTACTTTTTAAGATATTAAATAACATTTGGTTATATGTCTAAGTGGATTTTTTTTGGTACTTGAGCAAAAATACTTTAGGTGAGACCAATTCATTTCTTTCCTTAATTAATAGGCGTTTGTAACAAATTTTTTATTGCACAATCTTTGTTATTAGAGCTTTTGAATTAAAATAACTGAAAAGGGAAATATCTGATCAGAATCTTTTTCCGGGAATATTGAAAAAACCACAGTTTTTTGGTTAGCTATTCAAATTTCAAAGAGTCAGGCTTAGGGACGATACGCAGAATTGTGTTTTCTGTGAAATCAGAAAGCAGTGGGGTTGGTCTGTTTTGTTAGCCCTCAAATCACAACTTCTATCCCCAAATAAATGTGATCCCCTTTCCAGTGAACACCCAGGGGTTAGCCCCCATATTCTCAAGTTGGGAATTCCTCCATGTTTCGCTGCCTTCAGAATCTATCAGATACTCTCCTTGGCTGTCCTTCCTAGTGGCAAATCTTTGTACTTGGAGAATGGACTCCCTTTTTTCAAGCCAAAAGTAATCTGCCATCAAGCAAACGATGAAGCTAGGAAACAGCATGATTAATCAAAAACAATAGGAAGCTATAAGGTTGAGCCTGATTTTCTTGGAAAGGCAATACCCAAAATGGACCTCCGATGACAGTGTCATTTGGATAAGCGTGGAGAACCCAAGGTGACCACTTTGAAGGACAAATCTGATTTTAGTTGTGTACGTTTGTCTATAGATACCTTAAATTGGCTCAATTCAGCCACTTCATTTTTCAAGCACAAAGCTCGGGAGAACAAGAATACTGGAAGAATATGTGGGTTTTACACTAGGACCAAAAGCTACTGTGTTAAAAGCAAGGTAACCGTATGTTCCCTTCAGAGCGATCCAGTGAGCCAGACACATGGAGGAAATGTGGTGACTTTAATAAGATGGAAGTCAGGATTCGGACTCCTTTGAGAGAATGGTCACAGTTCATAAAAATCTTTTCTTTCCAAAGGAAATGGTATGGTTTTAACTTATTTTTAAGTGTTTAGAGTGGTGGGATTTTTTTCCTCCATAAGGAAAAGCCAAGCAGAGCACCAAAGAAGGTATTCACCTGACTTTAATAATTTATTTAACTGTGAAATTGTATCCCTACTGTGGGAATACTTGGATTTCATGATATGCCCCCTGTTTGGGCCCGGTGGCTCCAGACTTTTCCTGTAAAGCAAATAGTTAATCATGTAACACATGGAGTAAGTGTGTGTGATGAGTATTCACAGAGCACATTGCACCAGATGGCAGTTTCAAGGAAAATCAAAGCACCTGCCCTCCAGATAGGCTGAGCAGGGTTTTCTGGTGAATCTTCTTAAAAGAACTGCATTAGAAGTGCGATGTTAAGAGTTAGAGGGAGATACCATATGTTCGGTAAGAGAGGTAAGGTCAAAAATGTTGATTTGGAATTCGAGGGACAAAACTGAACTGATGATGTTCAATGACGAGCGAATTCTTTCCTCCTGATGTCCAATGACGAGCGAGGACTCTGGGCTAGTGTCTGTGGGTCAGGTGGAGGGAAGGTCCCGGACTTCTGGCCAGCACTGGCCTGTGTAGGTGCCCCTTTAAATGGGTTACTTAGGCAGCCCCCAAATTCCACCCAGCATGTTCCTCCTGGGTCACCCTGCTTCCTGTCTCCCCTGTTTCTCTTCCTTTGTTGTAAAGCTCCACGCATTGTTTTTCTTTTCTATTTCCTTGGGTTTATTTCACTTCATTACTCTTTTCTCCATGCTTAACCAAGAATTTTTGTTTGGTTGATTGTAGTTATGCTTTCTTGTCTAATGTTTGGACTCTTTCCTGGTCTCAATTATTTATGTATAAATATATATAATTATTTTTATATATATTTATGTATTGTGTATTGATATATTTACATAATATATATATTATAGATATAAAATGTATGTGTTATAATGTAGGATATCTAATAAGTTATATACATAATCTGTATGTAGCTACAATTGATAGCTAGTATTTTAAATTTCATATTTATATTGCCCTATCCTCCTTGGATCCACAGGCCACTGTCTTCCCTCAATTTCACTTCCACTCACGTTTGCACTAAGAGCTGTTTGTTCTCCAACACTTGGATGGAAATCTGCCACCAGCTGATTCATCAAAGGTCTGATAAATCACTGGCAACTTCCAGAGATGATAGATAGGTAGATGATAGATAGCTAGATACTGCATGAGACCAAAGATCTCTGTATCGCTATAGTCTACGAATGGCAATGAAACAAAAGGAGCTGTCAGGCAAGAGGCTATAGTTTGACTTCTGTGTGACTCCCTTTTAATGATGTGTTGAGAATTTATTATCTTGGGAAATTATCTTTGAACATTTTTATACCTGTGCTTCAAGCCAACATCTGCCATTCTTTATTACCCCCTAGGTTGTGTGTGTGTGCGGGGGGGGGAAATCCCCCCTGAAAGGCACTTCCTTTAAAGTTAACAACAGCTTCGTGGTTTCTAGCATTTCAAATCTCATTCTCAAATATCTTCCACCAGCATAGCATTTCCCCATTTGCCACCCAGCTAGATTGCAAAGGTACCAGCCGTCTGTCTCACCCAGCGTCGCTTCCCATAGTTTGTTATTGCTGACAAGACATGCGACAGGTTTACAAATCTTAAATGGATTGGAGATGACAAGGTCTTTTCTTCCCCTTCCTATGTTATTTGATGGCAGTTCATAAGACATCTGTGCTGAATGTCAAAGGATCGATATTCAGACGTGGAAAGTATCAGGGTTTCTAGAGACAGAATGATGGCCTTGGAAACAGAAGATTCCATTTCCACAGTCAGTGTCCTCCTGTGCTTCCTTCTATGTCTCTTTAAAAGGGACCAAATTAGGTGGTTTAGGGGTTGCCTGCTGGCCTCATAAGAAGTCAGGCAGATGGGT